CGAGTGAATCACTTGAACACTTAATTTCATTCAGCACTTCCTTAAAATATATCAATTTTTTATCCAGTTATCCAAAGAAAGCGATTAAAAAAAAAGAAAGTTTGTATTATTAGAAAGACAGATATTGACTAAGGTAAGAAGGCTCGGCATAGATGCATTTATTATGCGGAACCATTTTGGTAATATCGGACTCCACCGACGGCATGAGTGATTTTAATTGCATCGACGTTACGAAAAAAGGCTTTTCGATTGTTGCATCAGAAGGATGTTTGCGACTAATGGCTTAGCCCAGAAATACCAGCAATTCTGGCGCAAGTTGTGTGATAATGCCAAGAAAAGATGCGGCTGAAGACGAGGACTACGGCCACAGACGGCATCTCGCTATGCTTACCGAGACTGGTATAAATAGATGCTAATGAAAACTTTAAGTGCGGATTTGAAGTGCCAGGTTGCGCAACCAGAAAGACAACCAGTGCAGATCGGCCTCAGGTGGATTCAGTAGCTTAAAAAAGGAGCATGTGGATGCCAGGATAACAGCTTCTTTATTCCATTTGGTAATTTTTGGACAAACAAAAAAAAAAAACAACGCGTACGACAGAACCTTTATAGCAGCGAGGGCGCACTGATGACTGTCAGCAGAGGATCGTCGCCACCGAGTTCGTTGTGCGAAAGTGGAAAGACGCATGCTTGAGTATGTTTTTCGAGAGCTTCGCACATCTGAAGATCCGGAAGTCATAACAGATCTTGAATCAATCAAAAAAGATCTGAGTTTAAAATGCAACTGAAAAGCAGCTTTGTGTTTTGCAGGTATGGAAAAAATGTCTTGTCTCGGCAGCACGCTGAATGAATGAATTAATGCCGTTCTTTCGAATTTCCATGACTTGCGAGAGGTGGTGGTGCATATATGCTTGAGTTGATTTGCTTTTGAAAGTGCGCAATTGCTGAACATGCTAAAACGCAGAACTTAATTGAGCCTTGAGAGGACCTTTTTCGATCACCGGCAACAAAATTTAGGACTGCTAATAATAAGTTCCCCGTATTCATTTGCATAAGCACTATCGCCTTTCACAAGTCATTTGCATGGTTATTTTTCAGGAGGAAAACTAGCCAAAAACACGAGTTTCGGAAAATTTGAAATAAGAGCGAGCCACCTCTTGGATGTGCACTGTGAT